ATACTTATTTTTCTGCAAATCGTAGATTAAAAGGAATTCCCAATAAGGCATGCTTCACTATTCTTTAAGAATAAGGGTATGAATATTCCTATACTAGGTTAGGTAGGGATAATGTAGGCTAACAAAGAAAATAGGCAATAAGGTTCAAAAGGGTTAAACCTACAATACATATGCAAGGGATAAGGCTTTTTGGCTGTGGTGGTAACTAAACTTCATCTTGTTATTTGTTATGCAATCAATTTTATTTTTTGAATGAAATAGACATGAGTTCTAGTATTTGGAACAAAAATGATGAAAAAGCATTCTAAGAAGCAACCAAGCAAAGAAATAAAGAGATCATACAAGGACTTTAGAAACCAAGAATATCACAGATTAATAACTCTCCAAACAAAGAATCGGCTCAAGTCTCACAGAGTTGTAGCGTTAGTTTGAGTCTCTTCCTTCAAGTATGTTACAAAAACTGATTTTTTTTCTTTGTGATTACATGTGAATTCGTAAATGAAAAGTACAATTAAGTATTAACCAAGTAGCATATCAAACTTCCACCCATGTTTGTAACTTTCTTTAACAGTCATGCAATTAAAAACCAAATCCTCATCATTGTGTTGGAAGGTATCCTAAGACACAAACAAGCAACAAAAACGACTCTTTTTGGTATTTTTCTCAAAATTTTTTGATTTTTTTTCTTTCAAATTTTTGTTATATTTTTGTTATATGACACACAATAAAACACTTTAAAACAGTGAATAACAATATTAGTAGTGATAGGTGGTGAAATTCGAAAATAAGTCATGAAAAACAGTCTGTTAATTGTTTAAAAGAGAGCAATAAAGAGAAGGGTAAAAGAGAGCAAATCTGGTTGTAGGAGTTGGAAATTCCAATGTCTCTTTATTTGAACACATGGGTTGCCTCCCAATAAGCGCTTGCTTTAACGTCTTCCAGTCGGACCACACCTCCATTTAATTCTCACTATGGCCTGCGACATGGAGTTGATCTTTGAATGGAAGGTGATACTTGAAATGATCTGGTAATTGTTTAAATTCTAGATTGAAATGATCCGGACAACACCTCCATTTAGTTGAAAATGAAATTGAAATTTGAGGAGGTGACTTACCTATGTGCTGCGACAAGAACTCAAGGACAAACACTACTTCGAAAGTTTCAGGAATGTTGCTCTCGACTAGATTTGGTGTGAGGGCAATGACTTGTCTCGTGTCATAAAATCCAACTTTTTCGGGGATGGTTGTCTCAAGTACATCCTCTTTGATGAATTCTAGATATTCCCAGCCATTTCTTTCTCTTGAATCCTTCTTCTTGTTGTACAAACCTTTTTAAAAAATTTAGCACATTCTGGAACTTGCTTTACTGTATCAAGAATCGGGATATTAACTTGCACCTTTAGAAAGGTCTTGAAGATGTCTTCCTCTCTCTCTCTCTCTTTTTTCTTGGATTGCAAAAACTTGCAAGGAAAAGGGACATTTGGTAGAATAAGGTTAGAAAGAATTGAATTCGGAACAACCTTACTAGAATTGGATGGTGGTGGAGCTAGAGTGGTTGTGGCACTAAGATTGGGGATGATTAGATGCTGCGGTAAGGCTTCTTCTAAGCTTGCCATGGCTGAATCTTCCTCATCCTCTTTGGACAGCTCCTCTTTGTCTACTTCTAGGCTATGGTTGGACACCTTTAAATCACCTGCAACCTCCATACCACTTCTCAAAGTGATCGCTTTAGTGATTTCAAAATCTCCCATCAAATTGACACTGGTTGACCTAGAAAGTTCGCTTTGTTCTCGAATTTGTCCCATGAATTTTGCTATCTGTCCAATTTGATTCTTTATGTCCCCCATCTCTTTAGCTTGGTCTTGTAAACCCTGAGTCAAAGAAGTTAGTGTTTGAAGAATTTTATCATAATCCATTGACGAGCCTGAATTTGGTTGGGATTGTTGTGGGGGAGGCTGTGGTGGCATCATAGGTCTTGAATAAAACTTCTCAGATGGCTGCCAATATCCTTCTTGTTGAACTTGTTGAGATTCCCTCCACATAAAATTTGAATGATCACTCCCACCTGGATTGTAAGTGTTGGAAAACAAGTTGTTCCTTGATTGATTATGGCCAAGATAACCCCAATCATTGACACTATCCCAACCTCCATTCTCAATTAATTGAGGATGTTGATTAGTTTGATATCCTTGCCTATAGGACACACCAAATGTACCTACTCTTTGCATTTTGGACCTTTTGATATGCTGTGACATAAGAGAAATAAGATTCGCCCTTTGAGTTTGTAGATTAGCAATTGCCATGTCTTGCTTCTCTAGTATCTAAAATCAAACAAATAAAACAAAATCAAATATCAAAAGAAAAAAAAAACAGAGTAATTAGCAATTTTACTAATCCCCGGCAACGGTGCCAAAATTGATGTGATAGAAACTAACACACAAATTAAACCCTATAAATTATGCAATCGTAGTATGAATAAGTAGGGATCATTCTATTCTGGGGATTAGAAGGGATGCTAATCAACACAAATTAAACTTAAAAACTGAAAACTAAGCTAGACTAACACAAAATAAGAACTGAGGGGGATTTTGGGACGAATTTTAACAAAAATAAAGTAAATTGTAGCAAACGAATTAGGTCTTGTACGAGATATAGGTGAAAGGCTAGCTAGAGGATTATTCTCCACACATGAAACATATGCATACAAATCGATTTCCAGTTATTATTTCTATAAACCATGAATGACAATACCCCAAATTAAATGTGAACTGCACAAATTAACTCTCAGATTTTCCTAGGTTCATTGAATTCGACTCAGCGACGCAATCAAATTATTCTCCTCAAGTTCTATAACTATGAAAAGCATGATAGAGATACATGTCGAAGATCATTAGGTTCTGTGAAAATCATAAGCATTGATGAAACATTCGTAACTATGAAAAGCATGATACTCCTGCCAAGAATTTACTTAACTCAATCATGACTAGTGACTTTTACTACTCGCAAATATAAGTTCATAAAGATTAGGTGAAATTCCCTTATATTCTAGCATCAAATCCATGCATGCAAACTAAGTGTGCACCCTTAATAAACATACAAGAATAAGTTCTCTATAAAGCAGATAAGTAAATCGCATTCATGTTTTATAAAACAATAACTGGATGTAATCAATTTATATAAAACATATGATCATGGCTTCGAATTCACCTCTAGCTAAAAAGAAACTTACTTACACATGTTCATCATAACTAAAAAGCAATCTAAAATAAACATTGAAACTTAAAATAAAGATAGAAAGAACTTTGAAAATTCCAGCAACTTCAATGGATGAATGGTATGCATGGCACACTCTTAATCTCTGCAAGAACTTCATATATATAGGGGGAAAATGGCTGAATCCAAGGAGGAAAGGGTTTTGGCGTTTTTGAGTTATTTTAGGACTCTAAAAATCAAGTAGAAAGTGTTGCAATATGATTAGGATTCCTTCTTGCAACTGGAGATAAGATAAGATAAGATAAGATAAGATAGGATTAGATAATCTTCCTCTCGAACTAGGATTCCCCCTTCTTGTCTAACTCCTTGCCTTCCAAGCCTCAACTTTAATTTCTCCAGATTTTAGCACATATCTAGCACCATTTAAACACCAAAAACGTCCAGCCCATATGCTATCCACGCATGCTATCTAATCCAAATCCAAAACTGCTCCAAATTGTTCCATTTGACTATTTATTGTCATCTTTACCAACTGGACCTACAATAATATGAAAATAACATAAACTACCAAAATAAAAATGGAAATTAACGAAGTAAATGCAAAGAAATAAGATAACAAAGTCGCATAAATATGCTCTTATCAAGTTGGAAATTGCTTTGGTTAGGATAGTAATGATCAAAAAATAAATTTGTTTAAGGAATGCCCGTCTATGGGTGGATTCTCATTTTATGGAAAAGTTAACTAAATTTCTTCTTTGTTGTTTTCATATGTTGCTTCTATGGTGGGTTTTGAAATTTCAGTTGTGGATGTGAAATTCACTTCTCAAGATAGTTGCGATAATGCCTATTTTTCTCTCGAAGCTCTTTCATCCAAGTTGCCAGAATTAGTGACTGAAGCTCTTCATGACGAGTCAGACATCGGCCTGCTACACTACTCTCACTTTTTCCTGCTTTTAATTTTGATTGTCTTGAAATGTGTGCTTTTCATTGGCAATTTTTTGCTAAATTTTATTTTGATAATTTGTGAAATTTTTGTTTTATTTTTTTTTTCCACAGCTTTTAGTGTTATTGCCCACAAATTCCAAATAGAAAAGTTAGAAGAGCTACAGATTTGCTTTCGACTGGTTCCCTTCTATTGAGTGCAAACGTGCTCCTAATATACTTGAATTGATTTAAAGTTAGTGTCTTTTCTGGGATTGTTTGTGGTTTTGTGAGTGTTGCTTAGGTAAAACGTGGGTTGTCTAAATTGCTACATTTAAGAATGCAATTGTATTGCTGCAGGATTTTCATTTAATTTTTCTGTGGATATTATTCATGTCTGTTATCGGTTATAGTTTCAAAACCTGCAGCAAAGCACGGGCATTCCTGCTAGTTAGTACTCCTAAAACTAAGGAGTCATTCTTCACAGTATTTTAATCTGTTAAACCTTTTTTTGAATTTATCCTTCTTCCACCAAGAGCCACACACTCTTGTATCCCTCCTTACACTCATGCATCACACATTGTTGTAAACAAGTATGAATGCTGAGATTGTGGCTTGGAATTGCTATCAATTTCCTGAATTTACTGAAAGCTGTTTCAGAACACCAGTAGCAAACACTATGCGAAAATAATCGTACCCGACCCTAGTATCAACAGGGCACGGATACCTTACATATGTACCTACCAAAATGCCTAAACTGAAAGAATTTAGGTTGTAATGCACTGAAGCGAGAGGGCCGCCCAACGTCCCATGCTATGATGGAACTCTTCACTTCCTCAAGTGTGATTACGTTCCACATTCACTATGTAATAAGCATCTTATGTCATCATCACATAATCGCAGCGTTACAAGCAAACGATTCACTGCATATCTACCAATATGACAGGTACAATTGAACAAAGAGAAAATCTGCAGGCATCAAAACGTAACGATTTTTATGTGCAAAAATGTAAATATAAAGGAGAAAAGAAAATACAGAGAGCATATGGAGATATAAAGATGATAAACGGCAACAGAGCAGACATAAAAGGAAAAACTCAACAAAAGGGACAAAATTTCCCGTCTCAAAGCTGAAACCAAAATGGGCCCTCAGCTCATTCGTTCCTTGCCTGAATGCCCAACATCTTCCGATTGTACTTGGCAGCAGTAACCATGTTGTTGAGGGCAGGCTGGACTTCAGAGTATTTGCGTGTCTTGAGACCACAGTCGGGGTTAACCCAGATGATGTTCTTCTCAAGGACCTTAACAATATTCTCAATTTTGACACTGAGTTCCATGTCTGACGGGATCCTTGGTGAGTGGACATCATAGACACCAGGACCAATGCCAGAACCAAACTTCAGTCCCTCAGGGAGGACCGAGAGCAGTCTCTCATCCGATTTGGAGTTCTCGATTGTGATCACATCCGCATCCATGTCAATGATTGAGTGAATTATGTCATTGAAATTTGAGTAGCACATGTGGGTGTGGATCTGTCCAATACAATAAGTCCAAGCATTACACTCCGACATTAAGTAGGCCATTCATGCTATGTTAATATGCATTCAGTCTTTCGTTTCTGGAAGTCATCTCTTTGTATTCGTTTCTTTGATACATAATGTCTTTAGTCAAAGCACTTATAAGATCTAGTATTGAAGTCTAAGAAAATATGATCGGAACTATTGATTTACAAACAGGAATAAATGGTAGAGAAGTGAAAAGGAACCTGAGTTGTATCCTGAACACTACAGTTAGTTATCCTGAAGGAGTGAACAGCCCAATCAAGATAGAGAGACTGCTCAGCCTTCCTCAAAGGCAAACCTTCTCTTAGAGCAGGCTCATCAATCTGGATCACGGTAATTCCTGCTTTCTCAAGATCCTCAACCTCATCCTTCATGGCCAAAGCAATCTGATAACAGGTCTCGAATCTGAAAGCATACATCGTGTTAAACACTAGAAAGAACAACAAACGAAAAATTACATGAAATCAATGTGCTTGTACTCTTACCTGGGCTGGTCATTTCTCACAAAAGACCAGTTCATAAGGGTGACAGGTCCAGTGAGCATTCCCTTCATAGGTCTCTTTGTCATTCCCTGGGCTAGAGATGACCAGAAAACTGTCATGGGATCTGGGCGACTCACATCACCATAGATAATAGGTGGCTTTACACAGCGAGAACCGTAAGATTGGACCCACCCATTGGAAGTAAACGCAAAACCAGATAATTGCTCTCCAAAGTACTCAACCATGTCATTCCTCTGGGTTGGCAAGTCATTGGCAAATATAATCAAGAATCAAAAACCCTCCTTTTACAACAAAAACATGGGCTATATGAGCGCATAAGCATTCGATCTAGGGAACTCACCTCGGGCTCTCCGTGCACCAATACATCAATGTCCAGCTCTTCCTGAAGCTTGACAACTTTGTTAATTTCTTCCTTCATTGTATTGACATAATCTTCCTCAGAGATTCTAGGAAGATATAGTGACTGGTTTAGTATCTACTGTCAGATTAAAAATTAATAAGAAAATAACAGAGTATGCGGCAACACAAACTTCCAGACAAGTATGCCAACTTTTTATCCTTGTATTCCCAGCGCACTCTTCTAAGATCCATTGTTTGAGGGAAAGATCCAATGGTTGTTGTTGGAAGAATTGGAAGGTTCAGCTTCTTTTGCTGAGCATCCAGCCTTGTACTCACATTTGTGGGTCGGCGGTGGTCAGAGCCCTTCAGAGCAGCAACCTGTGCAAGAAAGAATGATACTCCAATAAGTGAAAGATAATCACAGCATGTCAATTTAAGATATTTAAACATAAAAAACTCAAAAACTTACAGCCTTTTGCACAGCCTCATTCGTCACCCTGGGGGAGGATTTTCTTGAAGCTTGAGCTGCAGCATTGGCAGTGAAAAATGCCTGGAAATGAATTGGTAGTGACAAGATAAAAAATACTAACCAACATATCCTCAAGAAAGCTTTGAAGAATTACAAAAACGTTTTTCTAACACAGAATCATACATAGTTTCTCCCTCTGATTGTACAGATTTTATATATAATAGGAATTCAAGTGCACTGATCAGGGTCAATTTTAAGGTCCATTAAGTTACCTGCTTCTAGATGGAACAATGGCAACAACATTGTAGATAAACAAACATTAAATATTGCACATAAAAGTTATCGGTCAAACACTTCAACTTCAAAACGCTACTGGATCAAAAGTAAAGCAAGAACAGATGACATTTACTGGTTGAATTTTGTACTTCATGCACAGAGGCATGAGGGCATACAAATAATGATCTTCTAGGATATGACCAACAGAAATCTTTGACCAAGGGAGACAATTATAATAATTTGGAAAGAGTTTTTTAAATTTATGTATAGGAGTCATATGAATTAGATCATACATATATACTTAAATTAGGCTTCCAACAATAATTCACCTTATTAATTTAGTTGGGGAAATTTGTGACAGAAGGATTCAATGAGACTAAAGGTTCACAAACATTAATACTGAATTGGGGTAGTAATGATAGTTGCTAGGTGTTATTCGGGATTTATGAAAGTTCTAAGAATAAATTAAGACTAATTAGTAATTATTAGATGGATGTATAAGAAATAGTCCTCATCCAAATTAAAGTTCTAATTTGTGGATGCCTCAGATAAAAAATAGATATTATATAACTACCTCATCCTTCTGTCCGGACAATGCTTTAGCCAAGGCATTTACTTCAATAACTTTTTGGGCAGCAAATGCAAGCCATGGTTTAATATCTTTATCCAAGTTAGTCTCGTTCTCTAAATCAACTGCAGTGTGGAGAAGGGAGCAGGATGTTGAAACCACAATCTTGTCTGTCAAAAAATCATATTGGATCAGATTATGCAGCCAACTGAAAATCCTTCTCTTATAAAAGAATGCGCTTATGAATAAGACCTTTTCCAACAATGCTTTCAAGAGCCTGCAGGATATTGACGGAGGATGCAAGATCATTGGCCCATATATTCCTTCCATCAACCACTCCAGCAAAAAGGTGTTTTCCAATAGGAAATCCACCCTTAATCAGATCAAGGGTCTTTGCTCCACGAACCAGGTCAAACCCATAACCAGTAACACCCTTCAAAGAGGTAATTGTTTTGTACGCTTCAGCAGTAACATCAGAAAAGTATGTCTCAATCAGAACATTTAAACCAGAGAAAGATGACTCTAGTTCCATGTACGTATGAGTAAATGCTTCCAATTGATTAGCATCTAGATTCAATACAAGGGCGGGCTCATCAAACTGGACCCAGGTAGCACCAGCTGCCTTTAGTTCAGCCATAACCTCCCTGCATGGTTTTAATCATTAGTAGAGATAATTTCAATCACGGGCAACATACAAACAAATAAATATTTTAGAAAAGGTAAAGTCAGTTACTTGTAAACTGGAAGAATATAGCGAAGTAGGGAGAGGGGTGGAAAAGATTGTTCAATACCCCTTGCTGGTTTTGATAGCAACAAGAAGGATACAGGTCCTATAAGGACGGGAATTGTATCCACTCCAAGCTGCATTGCAAGTTGTAACCAACTATAAATGAGTCAACAATTCAAACAAAAGAACTTGGAACAAAAGGCAAGACGATATTGCAATTGAGGAATACTTACAGCCTTGGCCTCCTTGAATTCATCCACTGCCTTGTGCGATGCATAAGAGAACCTAATATGTGGGCCCAATTCAGGGACAATGTAATGGCTGCACAAAAGGACACACGGTACATGTTCCATTAAGAAAATTTATAAACTCAAACCAAAACTCATTGAAATACTATGAGATGCATAACTAATCACTTACTAGTTGGTGTCAAACCACTTGGTCATTTCCATAGCAGGAACATTTACATTTCCCCTAGCCATGGAAAAGTAGGTCTTGAAGCCAATCTCGCCGTGTTTCCAACCATACCTAGGGGGTACAGCCCCAAGCATGGCTGTGGTGTCTAACATCTGATCATAGTACGAGAAGGTGTTGCTTGGAATATACTGAATACCAGCATCAGCCAGCTGCTTCCAAATGCTGGACCTAAGACCTGCAGCCGCCTTTTGCAATTCTTCGGCACTGCTCTTCCCATCCCAGAAAGATTCCAAGGCAAACTTGAGCTCTCTTTTCGGTCCTATGCGGGGAAGACCAACAATGTGGGAGGCCACCGCTCTGTTCCGCCGTATCCATATGTCATCAAAGAAAGTAAAGTTCACCTATTTGGGTTGCTAACAAAAGCCAAAAGAGCAACAGAAAAGACCCATTTGCATATGGTCCTTCCTATCAAAGTCTATTCAAACAATCAAAGTGGAAAGAAAAACACTGACAGATATCACATTTACAAGCCATAAATTAAAACAAAAATTCCAGTATTTTCTTCATTAATTTGCAAACAAACCCATCATTCCTTGGCAAAATTAAGATAGAAAAAGACTCCAAAAGCAAACAAAAAAAATACAGAAAAAGCTATGAAACGAGAGAAATGGAAAACCCAGAAAAGGAGAGTGTAAATGCCTGGTAGAGGTAGTGTGGAAATGGAGGTGGTGGGTACAGCGAAGAAAAGCGGGACGCTTAACTGAGAAATAGAGAGAGCCATAAGACCCAAAACTAATTGACGACACTTGGTTCATTTTTGTAAGCTCAAAATTGTCTCTGGATTGTGGAAGGTTGGGTTCTATATGGGTTTTTTATTGTGGGAGTTGGAGGGATTCAAGGTGGCAACGCCGTGCACAGTGGTGCTTTTAGGGTGGCGAAGGTTTAAATTTATGAATTTTGTTTTTTTAGTACATCCATCTTTTTACATTGAAGGGAAGAAGATTTTGGCTAAGAAACATATCCTAATTTGGTATTGAAAATATTCGAATTTAAGACTTCTTATTTCTAAATGAAAAAAAATATCACCAAACTATAATTCTGAGTGACTAAATTTATGAATTTAGCTATAATATTTGAACCTGTAGACATCGAAATTTCAGTAAAAAAAAAAAAACAAATGTTCACCAATGCATTAAAGTTTTGACGTGTCAAGGCATACATGGCATACGCCACGTGTTGTACAAATTGTACACATGGCGTGTGACTTAACAAAATAGGAAGAAATACCCTTGAAGGATTAAACAAGTTTTTCTTCTCATTTTGGGCAATGACAAGGCAAGTACATTTCAATCCATTGAGGATCAAAACAAGTTTTTCTTCTCATGTTGGGCAATGACAAGGCAAGCACACTTCAATTCATTACGGATTAAAGCAAGTTTTTCTCATTTGGGCAATGACAAAGCATACACATTTCAAGTTTAAAATGGTGTTAAGTGGGAAATTAGGTCATAAGTTACACCACTTCAAGTTTAAAATGGTATTAAGTGGGAAATTAGGCCATAAGTTACACCACTTCAATTTCAATATTGCATTAAGTGGGAAAATTAGGCAATGGTGCTTGGAAAGGAAAAAAATATTTTGTGGTGGTGATTCATTCTCAAAGCCTATAAATAGGCTTCTCCATCAAGGTATCAAGCATCAACCAATTCACAAATACATTTCTCTACACACCAAAACCTTGAAGCCTTAAGTTCTAAAGCTCTCAAGAAAATCCCGAAGGATCAAGAAAGCACTCTTCGTTTTGCGTCAAATCCTCCTTCAAGATCAAGCCCCGACGGCCCTTGAAGAAAGTGTTCATCGTTCATCCTAAGATCAAGCCCCAACGGCCCTTGAAGAAAGCATTCATCATTCATCATCCGTTCATCCTAAGATCAAGCCCCAACGGCCCTTTGGGTCAACAGCACAAACAAATCCACACATCCAATCGTTCTTCAAGATTAAGCCCAAAAGCCCTTGAAGATCCGCTCATCCATCAACCTTCAAGATCAAGCCCAAAAGCCCTTGAAGAAATCCACACAACCATTATTCAAGATCAAGTCCCGACGGCCCTTGAAGAAAGTGTTCATCGTTCATCCTAAGATCAAGCCCTAACGGCCCTTTGGATCAACAACCTCAACAAATCCACACATCCAATCGTTCTTCAAGATTAAGCCCCAACGGCCCTTGAAGATCCGCTCATCCATCAACCTTCAAGATCAAGCCCAAAAGACCTTGAAGAAATCCACACAACCATTATTCAAGATCAAGCCTCGACGACCCTTGAAGAAAGTGTTCATCCATTCATCAACTGTTCATCCTTAGATCAAGCCCCGACGACCCTTTGGATCAACAACTCATCCACAAACCTACATCCTACGAAGATAGAATCAGAGGACCAAATTTGAGAGAGATCGTAACCCCAAAATCATTAAACACAAAAATATTATTTTGTACACGTTATTCTTGTTTCTTGTTTCAAGGAACTTTCGTGTTCACAAATTTGGCACGCCCGGTGGGACCTCTCTACCTCTCATCTCTATCCTCAAATCATCAAAAAAACGCAAATGGCATCAAGAAAGGATCAAGCTGTTCCTGCAATCAAAGCAAAGAACAAGAACATCATCGTCGCGAGTGGTGGTATTTCGGGCATCACAACCCGAAGTAAAGCAAGAGCTCTTTTTACCGCGGCTTCCGCCCCTGCATTAACTCTGTCAAATGAACAAGAGCACCTGAGGTACGAGCCTGTGATCACCCTAGCCTCGCTAAGGGCATCAAGGGGAGAAAGCCCGAGGAAATACTCAGAGTCCCTACTCTCCGACGCTGATTCGAGTGGCAGTACAACCATGCAAGTCATGACCACTGGAGCAACTTCAATTGAGGAGCAGCTAGCTCAGATGAATGAAGCAATCGCAAAGCTCACACGGACTGTGGAAGAGAAGGACTTGCAGATTGCCGCACTTGTCAACCAACTAGATGCGCTGCCCGACGTGAAAGTCGACCCAAATGTTGACCTATTAAATAAAGAAGTCGACGAAGAAGAAGAGCCTCCAATGGAGAAAGTCGAAGAGAAGCTGAAGCTAGACCAAGCAACGGCTTTCATGGGATCTCTCTCTATCCAGCAACTACAGGAGATGATTGCAAGCACTATCAAGACACAGTACGAAGGAAGCTCACATGAGTCTGTACTGTACTCAAAGCCTTACTCCAAGAAGATTGATGCTTTGAAGATGCCAAGAGGTTATCAGCCCCCAAAATTCATGCAGTTCGATGGAAAAGGCAACCCAAAACAACATGTCGCCCATTTCATTGAAACTTGCAACAATGCTGGGATAGATGGGGACTACCTTGTCAAACAGTTCATTCGTTCGCTGAAAAGTAACGCTTTTGACTGGTACACTGACCTCGAACCTGAGTCTATCAACAGTTGGGACCAGCTAGAAAGGGAATTCCTCAACCGTTTCTACAGCACTCGTCGTACTATGAGCATGCTAGAGCTAACCAGTACGAAACAGTGGAATGATGAACCTGTCATCGACTACATAAATAGATGGCGTTCTTTAAGTCTGGATTACAAAGATCGGCTTTTTGAAACCTCTGCCATTGAGATGTGCGTTCAAGGCATGCAGTGGGGACTACACTACATCCTTCAAGGCATCAAACCACGGACATTTGAGGAGTTAGCCACCCGCGCCCATGATATGGAGTTAAGCATCACCCGTCATGGGAAGAAAGAACAGATCGCCGACTACAAGAATGACAAAGTTTTGGGGCCAAAGGTGGATAAGCCTACGTGGAAACCCACCAAGGAAGCAATGACGGTCAACACAACTAGAGTCAAAATCCATACACGAGGCAAGGTGATTCAAACCGAAGCTTTTCGTGATCAAGAGATACGTAGACGCACTTTGAAGGAGCTTGAGGAGAAGACTTATCCATTCCCCGACTCTGACGTGGTTGCCATGTTGAAAGACTTGCTTGACAAAAAGGTGATCGACCTACCTGAGTGCAGACGGCCAGAAGATATGAACCGTACTGACAGTCCAAGGTACTGTAAATTCCACCGCTTCATTAGTCATCCGACGGAAAAGTGCTTTGTGCTAAAAGATCTCATCATGAAGTTGGCTCAGAAAAGGATCATCGAGCTAGATCTTAATGATGTGGTGAAGTCAAACTATACCACCGTCACTTCTTGCTCTTTGAACTCAAAATCTTCACCTCAACCGCTGGGGGCATGCTCCAAAACCATGTCAGTCAAGTCAAGTGAAGTTGAAGGATGGACTTATGTTACTCCAAAGAAAATGCACAAGAAACATAGGTCTCCTCCACAAGTTCACCAATCGGAAAGGGGGCAAAGCAGCTATCGTCAACCTTCAAAGCTACATGAAAGTGTTGAGGATGATGAAGTTATGACACAAAGATCGTCCATTGCCATCACGATGCGCGATTTCTTCCCCAAAGACTTCTTCAATCACTCAGTCAAGACTCCTTGCTATAAAGATTGCAAGGAATGCTTCTCTAAGATCATTTGACAAATCCACAACAACAACCAAAGCTCCTCGTTCGCACGAGCCTAAAAGGCGACAACCAAAGCTCCTCGTTCGCACGAGCCTAAAAGGTGACAACCAAGCTCCTCGTTCGCACGAGCCTAAAAGGTGACAACCAAGCTCCTCGTTCGCACGAGCCTAAAAGGCGACAACCAAAGCTCCTCATTCGCACGAGCCTAAAAGACGACAACCAAAGCTCCTTGTTCGCACGAGCCTAAAAGGTGACAACCAAGCTCCTCGTTCGCACCAGCCTAAAAGGCGACAACCAAAGCTCCTCGTTGGCACGAGCCTAAAAGGTGACAACCAAACGCTCCTTGCCTGCACGAGTTGAAACTGCAAATCGCACCAAACGCTCCTTGCCTGCACCAGCCGAAACTGCAAACGGCACCAAACGTTCCTTGCCTGTACGAGCTGAAACTGCAAACGGCACCAAACGCTCCTGACCCGCAAGAGCATAAACTGTGTACGGCAAAATCATCATCAAAACCATCACTCATTTGAACTACGTCATGACTTGATCCCTCCTCAACCAAGGGTACGTAGGCAACTTGAAACTTCAAAACTTCAAGTACAGTCACATCATCAAAATAAAAAAATAAAATAAAAAAAAGGGAAATAACACATCTTGGTGATGTATATGTTTTATCTGTATTTTGCACAATACACTGAATAAAATAAAGCATTTCATTGATCTCCGAGAAATTACAAGTGCGTACAAAAAAAAAAAAAAAAAAAAAAAGATGAAGCTTTCACAAAGGATGTGTACGTGAAGCCCCACTACGTGGCAACACTCTCGGAGCAGAAGGCATCAGAGCAGGAGGCATCGGAGCAGAAGGCATCGGAGCAAGAGGCATCGGAGATAGAGCATTCGAGGCCTCAATACTTGGCGGAACGCTGGATGACCCAGGAAAAAGGTGCCTCTGGAAGAAATACGCAAGCCTTTGACGGTCACTTTGCATTCGACCTTGAGATTCTTGCATCTCATCAAGCTTCCTCTTCATGCCCGACGAATAGTTATTTGCAAGCACATGCAAACTTCTATTCTCGTACTTAAGCTGTTTAATCTCCTACTTAAGATCCTCTGCCATCAATGATTCCACTTGACGAGACCGAGCAAGCAGACGTTGGCCCATGTTGGACACAGAGCTCGCACACTGAACACTGAGAGCGAGGGACTCTTGAACGGCCAACTCATCGGACCGTCCTGAAAGCAGCCTACTATCTTTTGGTGTGAGGAGGTTCCTAGCTACTATTGTAGCTGTTGTTGCATTCTGCATCACTGAGTCTTCACCTGTAAGAGGACCATTAGAAGATAAGAAAGACGGGCACCATACATTACCTTGACGCGGCGCAACCGGATCACTGCTGAGACTCAATTCTAAGCTAAGGTTCGATGGG